ATGTTACCCTATAACTACCCCATATGTTACCCTATAACTACCCCATAAGTACCTCCAAACAAAATTGTTCCATATGTTACCTGGTAATTATTACCCGTATGTAATCTGTAATTACTCTGTAAGTTTTCCCCATAAATACTTTGTATGTTACTGATTTATTATCTGTTTTTTTTTTCCCCCCCCCCAGGAGAAAAAGTGACCCAAATCTCCATCCCACTGTTTTTGGGAGTAAAAGGAGAGGAAATAACCGAAGGACACCATCCGTATAGACAGCTGTCAATCACCATTACCGTTGAGTTTCCGAGTATCACCTTCCGCCCCCATCAAATCCTTCTTACCCCAGTACCGCTGGCAAAAAGCATAGAAACCACTCTCACTCTACTGGCTGAGGGGTATCAAAGGTTGGTTCATGTAGACACATGTATGGTGTTTTCTGTTCGTTGTTAACAGATTGTTAAAATAGATTGTTTCAGTGATGCTTAATGAACTCTGATAGATGTTACTGTAGCAACCTGCGTTTTTTAAAGGCACTGAACACAACAGAAGAAACACTGCACTTCACAGTAGTAGGATTTTTGTCTTCCTTTGTTTTTCTGATCACACTCGTAGCTGTCAGCTCGTTTGTATGCAGAGCAATAGCGATGATGGATTTTATTGTAATTGTTTTGTTTTTTTCTAGCTTCAGGCTATTTACCATCTGCGCTAATCCTCTTGAGCTAAATAAAAGCTGCACTCAGAACGACAATAACATTAATTTCAAACTTATTTATTTTTTTGTACGAGTCAAGCTCAGACCTTTTATCTGACTAGTCTGCAGACATGTTTGATTTGTTTTACGCCCAGCAGTCGGAACAATCCTTGGTGGTTTACATCGTTTGTGCTTTGGCACTTCTTACAGCTGAATCTGGCTGACTCTCATGGCTGAACTGAGAAACAAAGTGTATAAACTGAGAGGTTTTACAACAGAACCATATCATGACACGGACACAACTTCTACCCCTTACATGAGTAGTATGTAGAGCCACGTATTGCAGCAGTCAGATCTTTGAAGCTCTGCATGACCAAACTCCCTCAGCTGCTTTCCAGCTTGTGTCCTCCACACCTGCTATAAGGCCAGTAGTGGGTTTATTTTTTTCACGTGAACATTTTAATTGTTTAGGGAAAAAAAGTCTCGCTATAAATTACACGTTCAGTAGTCCTTGTACATCTGTAAATATTTCGTTCAAATGTTTATTAATTATTTTTGACAAGAGGCTGAATTTCTTTTCTTTATTCATAATTAAAGTACCTGCATGTCATTCATTACAAAGTAAAAATATAAAGCTAAAATACACTACCTGGCCAAAAAACAAGTCGCCGCCTGGATTTAACTAAGCAAATAGGTACGAGCCTCCTATTAGATAATTACTGCATGGGTGATTATATTTCAGCTGCAACAAGTTATTTAACCCCAACTGGTGCAATGAGTTTCTTCTCATTTCTTAAACAACCATGTCAAAGACACATCACGTGGTCGTGGAAAAGATGTCAGTCTGTTTGAGAAGGGTCAAATCATTGGCGTCAAGCAGAGAAAACATCTTGCAGAAACAACTAACATTGGGTTAAGAACTGTCCAACACATTAAAAACTGGAAGGATAGTGGGGACTCATCGTCTTTGAGGAAGAAATGTAGCTGGAAAAAAATCCTGAATGATGGTGATCGGCGATCACTTAAACGTTTGATGAAATCAAATAGAAGAAAAACAACAGTAGCACTCAGGGCTGTGTTTTATAGTGAAAGTAAGAGCATTTCCACACGCACAATGTGAAGGGAACTCAAGGGATTAGGCCTGAACAGCTGTGTAGCCTTAAGAAAACCACTAATCAGTGAGGCTAACTGGAAAAAAGGTTTCAATTTGCTAGGGAGCATAAAGATTGGACTCTGGAGCAATGGAAGAAGGTCATGTGGTCTGATGAGTCCAGATTTACCCCGTTCCAGAGTGATGGATGCATCAGGGTAAGAAGAGAGGCAGGTGAAGTGATGCACCCATCATGCCTAGTGCCGAGTCATCAGTTCAAGATCTTGGTGAAAAATGAATGCAACACTGGATGGAAATAGATCTTGTGACATTACTGAAGCTTATTGAAACAATGAAACAGGGAATGCATGCTGTGATCAAAGCTAAAGGTGATCCACCGAAATATTAATGTGTGACCTTTTTTTTTTTTTTTTTTTTTTGGTGGTGCCTTTTTTTTTTTGACCAGGCAGTGTATAAAATTCAAAAAGGAAAATTGGAAACTATAATAAAAAGTAAACAGTATATCTCAGTAAATCAGTTAATTATGAACCTGCTTCCTGACCAGTGCTTAATTTGTAAACCGAACGATGCCGGAACGCACACACAACACAACGCTTAGGCGCGCAAATGTCAAAATACCAAACCCATTCATATTTATAATTTAGATTTAAATGCTATATGTGCAATTTATAACTGTAGCCTATTAAGTTTAGGATAATTTCTCACCTTCCTAGTTGTTCAGCGCACTCTGCTTCTCTCACACATCCTAATCCCCCCACCCCTCCAGCTCCTGCAGGTAAGGGGCATTCCACTTCAGGTCAAATTGAGACCGGCAATTGGTCAGTTGCTGACGAGCCCACTGGACTGATTGACAGGTGGCATCGAGGATCCAACTCTTGCAAAAAAAAAAAAAAAATCATAGATTTTACTGGCCCGTTTGTATCATCATTTATTCCAGATTTATTCAATATTTTGGTGAATAGGTTTGAGAACTACCGATAAGCTTCCTTACATAATATAGAGGATAGAGGGTGAAACGTCTCTATATAAAAAAAAGAAACCATCCAGATGACCCGACTGAGAAATATTGGACTTCCTTACATAACTTTATTATTAGTAGGCCTGAGAGTTACCGGTTCCAAGCAAACAGTTACCAGGACGCACCCTGTCAAAAGCACTGGTCTTGACCTTTAAAAGAATCAGAACTAATTTAGAAAATAATTGTAATGTTTTTCTCTGATTCCTTTGAATCAAAAAGCTACAGTGCATTTATTGAAACATTTCCTTTGGATGTGTTTTGTACTTTCTGAAGGTTTTAATTAATCTGTTGTTGAAGGTTTTTCTATTCCAACGCACTCAGAGGTAGGCCTGTCGCAATAAACAATAAATCAATTAATCGCATGATAAATCAACCTCATTTTCATTTATCGGCTTTATCGTTTCTTCGTGTCTCTCTCTTTCTACCGAAGACACTGGATGACAAAAAGCTAAACTCCGGTGCTCTTCACTGACCCCTCCCTTTCTCTTTTATCTTTAAAATCAGTTTTAACCATCCAAAATCGCATTTTTGGATCGTTAAATGCAGCTAAGTTATGAAGCTAAGCTACGAGCTAAGCTAACAGTCTGACCTTGGGGAAAAAGCCTCAGTCTTGTCGAAGTTCCAAATGCATGGTTGAAACCCGTGCCTTTGTCTAAAAAGTTTTTTCTCTGCAAAAAGAACTTTACTGATTTTTTAAATTTTTTATTATAAGCTTTGTGTGAGAAATGCTATGCTAAAGAGCTCAAATCACACCGAGCGTCCGCCATTTTGAGAATCGAAGAGAGACAGCCCATGTCACGTCAAGGGGCCTCCCTCCCATTTTTCTTAAAGAGAAAAAATTTAGACACGCTGCTTGCTCCCTCACTATCCATCCTTCGATTCAGTCTTATATTGTCTTCTAGTGGTCGAAAAAGGTACTACATGCAAAACAAATGAACAAACATGTTTTCTTAAATTTGACAATAATTACTAATTATTGTCAAATTTCAAACAATATTATCGTTTATCGCAATAATTTCTGAGACAATTAAGTAAAAGCAAAATTTGTTATGATGACAGGCCTACTCAGAGATCCAGTTTTTGTGACATTTGCTTGAAATCTTCCACTTTCCGCCCGTTTTCACCGATAGTGGGACAACGATATCAGCTGAAGTCGATGAGGTGGAAATGGAGGATGGGACGAAGATCCAGCCTGTCGCCATCGTCTTTCCTGAAGGAAACACGATTCAGGCCCAGAACCACAACCAGGTGCTGGAGTCAGGCTACACAACTCCACAATATACCTCACAGGAATTGCATTAGTTAAAAAAAATCATCTTGGTAACATTACGTGCTCAGAAAATGTTGTTTTTATACAAATATTGTCTTTGTTTGACACAACACTTTTAGTCAATGTTGTAACATTTTCAGTCAATAATTAACAACATCCACTCTCATTTGCTCCATTCTGGGCCCTTGAGCAAGGCTCTTAGCCCCCACTATCTGCTCCCCTGGGCACCCTAGATGGCAGCTCTCTGCTCCACACAGAGGGCTGTGGTAGCTCAGTGGTCTGTGGTTGCATCAGGATGGTTATCCGGCGTAAAAATAATTGCCAAGTCTTCGTGCGAGTTCGTTGGCGGTTGCGACCCCTGAAGAAGGGAGCACCCGAAAGAAGGAAAAAAAAAAACATGCACCCTCCCCTTTACCTTTAACTAACAAGCTAAGGGTAAGTCATAAATGTCCTACATGTTTAGTTACCTGTGAATCAGGTGTGTTGGAGCAGGGAAGCATGCAGGGTAGTTAGTTTGTGGCCCTCCAGGACCAGAACTGTTCAACATGAACTAGAGAAACTGCATTTCCTGCAAAAATGCAGTGTGAATGCTTATTGCTGAAGAATTTGCTGAAAAACAGCTGACATTAGCTAAAAACTTAATGGATTGTAACTGAAATGGAAAAATGAGCCTAAATTAGCAGAATGAGGCAGAAAAAAAACAGTTTTGCTGATATAAGCAGAAAGGAGCACAAACATTAGGAAATCGGCTAAAAAGCTGAACTTAACCAAAAACAGCTGAATTGTAGCTGAAAAGGCAGAAAAAAGCTTAAATAACCAGACAGAAGCAGAAAGAGCTGAAATGAGCGAAAAATGTGGAATTAGCTGAAAAAACTAAAATTAGCATAAAACAGCTAAATTATAGCTGAAATAGCAGCAAATGCTGAAAGGATCATAACAAGCTGAAATTAGCAGAAAGAAGTTAATTAGGCTGAAAGTAGCAAAAATTGCCACAAAACACTTAAATGTATCTGAAAGCAGCTGAAATTAGCTAAGAAATGATAAAAAGCAAGCTGAAAATGTAGAACAAGCTTAAATTTGCAGAAGAAACTAGAAAGAACATGTTTGCTCAGTTAGGCCGAAAAATGCAGAAATTAAAAATAAAGTGGAAATTTTCTAAAAAAAAGCTGAAATTAGCAAAAGCAGCTAAAAAGGCAGAAAGAAACTTAAGTTACAAGAAGGAAGTGGAGAGAGCACGTTTTTGCTGAATTGGTCTGGAAAGCGTTCAAATGAGTGCAAAAAAATGTGCAATTAGCTGAAAAACTAAAATTAACATTAAAAGCTAAATAGTAGCTGAAATAACATAAAAAGTTGAAACTAGCAGAAATAAGCTGAACGGAGCATAACAAGCTGAAATTAGCATAAAGAAGTTAGAAGAAGCAGAAAAATGTTGTAGTTAGCAGAAAGAATCTGAAAGGAACGCAAAACGGCTGAAACCCCCCCAGCTGAAAGTAGCTGAACGTTTTGTTATACGATTTGTTGAAATAGCACAAAAACTGTGGAACGAGAAAGATGCTGAAAAACGTACAGAAGAAAGCTGATTCACAATAATGTGACTGCTTCATAAAAGTTTACACAACTACCTAAACACTGAGAAACATTTTACTGTAGACTAGTTAAGATTTTGACCTTGTTCATAGAACTTCACTTTAAAAATGACCAGACTTTCCTTTTAACACGTTAACAGATCAGGAGTTTACCTGACCCCCTGCTGAACGTTTCCTTTATTTTATTGTCCCCAGCAGGGAAGCAGAGTTACCTCTCTGCTCTGCAGCGTGTCCTTCTGCTCCGCCGTCTCGTTGTCGCTGTGCACATCCATAACCTTCACCGATCACATGCACAACAGGTAACCCACCTTGTATAGTTTATATCACAAAAAGAGTTGGGGTTTAGTCGTCACTTCCATCATTAAAATGGGTTATTTGCAGGCCTCCTGATCATTCTTAGACTGTTGCCAACATTTAGTGTCTGTTGTGGATGTGTCTTGTGTTTCTTTTTGACACACTCACTGACTTTTCCTTCTGTGGTTCATCCATTCATCCATTATCTTTACCCACTTTTTGGGTCGCAGGGTCACTGGTGTCCATATCCAACAGTTACTGTGCAAGAGGTGGGACACACCCTGGACAGGTCTCCAGTCCATCACAGGGACACATAGAGACAAACGAGACAAACAACCATTCACTCTCTCGCGCTCACCTAGGGACAATTTAGAGTTACCATATTTTTTGACGTATAAGTCGCAGCTTTTTGCGTAAATTTGCAAATCCTACGACTTATACACGGAAGCGACTACCATTCCCCTACCATTATACAAGCGAAGATTCTATTGGATTCAGAATAAAGCCAGACAACAAGAGTGTAAAAAACATAGGAAACAAATGTATTTTATTGCAGCTGCTGGTGGTAGTCAAGATCCAGTTGCAGGAAACACGTCGTCTCAGGCATGTGGGGTAAGAGCCACCTGTTAGGGCTTGAAGAGATAATGTCACTGTAACTGGTAGAAAGGCAGCTGCAGAGGAAGGCCTTTAATGCTGTGGACAGTGGGGGCAATGCAGGGTAGTGGTCTAAAGGGCGAAGCAGGGGTCAAGCACAGGGCATCAGAAGTTCAAGAACAAATCCAAAGGGGTAATCCGGCATTTGAGGTTCATAAGGCAGAAAACAGGGCAGCACGATGGCGCAACTGGTAGAGCTGCTGCCTCTCAGCAAGCAGGTCCTTGGTTCAAACCCCGGTCCAGGGGCCTTTCTGGGTGGAGTTTGCATGTTCTCTCCGTGCATGCGTGGGTTTTCTCCAGGTACTCCTGTTTCCTCCCACAGACCAAAAACATGCATGTTAGACTGATTGGTAACTCTAAAATTGTCCCTAGGTGTGAGTGAGAGAGTGAATGGTTGTTTGTCTCGTTTGTCTCTATGTGGCCATGTGATGGACTGGAGATCCGTCCAGGGTGTACCCCGCCCCTCGCACAGTGATTGCTGGACATGGGCACCGGCGACTCCCGTGACCCAAAATGGAAAAAGTGGGTAAAGATAATGGATGGATGAAGGCAGAAAACAAAGACGTACCAGCTAGGCCTGTCACGATAACAAATTTTGCTGGGCAATTAATTGTCTCAGAAATTATTGCGATAAACGATAATATTGTTTGAAATTTGACAATAATTAGTAATTATTATCAAATTTAAAAAGAAATGTTGGTTAACTTTTGTGTGTAATACCTTTTTCGACCACTGGATGGCAGTATAAGACTGTTTGAACCCAAGGATGAATAGTGAGGGAGCGAGCAACTTGTCTCTTTAAGATAAACGAGAGAGAGGCCCCTTGACGTGACATGGGCTGTCTCTCCTTCCTTTTTCAGTTCTCAAAATGGCGGACGCTCAGTGCGATTTGAGCTCTTTAGCATAACATTTCTCACACAAAGCTTTTAATTTAAAAACAATCAGTAAACAAGTTCTTAGCTTCTTTTTTACAGAGAAAAACAACTTTTTACACAAAGGCACAGGTTTCAACCGTGAGTTTTGGAGCTTCGACAAGACAAAGGTTTTTTTCCCCAAGTTCGGCTTGTTAGCTTAGCTCGTAGCTTAGCTTCTCAGCTTAGCTGCCTTTAATGATCCAAAAATGCAATTTTGGACACTTAAAACCGATTTTAAAGAGAAAGGGAGGGGTCAGTGAAGAGCACTGGAGTTGAGCCTTTCGTCATCCAGTGTCCAGTAGAAAGAGAGAGACACGAAGAAACGATAAAGCCGATAAATGAAAATGAGATCGATAATTTTTATTTATCATACAATTAATTCATTAATTGATTTATTGTTTATTGCGACAGGCCTAGTACCAGGGTCAGATGGGCTGAGCAGAATCATACAGGGAGCAGGAAGAGAGGTAAATCCTCAAGACATGGTGTGAGGTCGAAATCCAAAGAACAAGACGTGAATCATGAACAAAATGGCTGGATATCAGGAACCGAGAATGGTATGATAATCTGGCAAGGAGCTTTTGTGACATGAGCTCATCAATAGAGCATGAAGCAGGTGCAGGGCATGAGGCTGATTGAGCTGTGGCGCAGAGTGGGTGTGGCTGAGAGGCAAAGCTTGAGAGCAGAACATGACATGAGGGGCTGTGAGTGAGACAAGGAACAGAGGACGTGATCATGAGTGTTTCCTCTAGGTCACTTGCCCTGGGAGGGCGCTTGTCTCTTCAGGGTTTTTGTCAGACTGGGGGAGGGGGAGGTGTTGGGTGAGAGAAGCTATAGCATATATATAGCGGAGCGCTACGTTTGTATTGTACATGATTTGAAGTCTGAGCTGAGCTGCTAGTCTACGTTCCCCTTCCGGAAGTGGCGGAGCAGAGTGGGGGGTGGGGGATTTTTGTTGGCGGGGTGCTCCGTTCTGTTGACAGGGAGGTGCACCCTCCTTGGATAATGCTAGGGGAACGCCACCATTCATTAATTAAAACATTTCAGTTTGTTTTTCTTTGACTCCTCATTTTCCCTTCAGATTCCCGATCAAGTTGTGCGCTGCTGCTGATAACTGTTTGTTGACGGTCTGGCCCTACATGGCACTGCGCCCAGCTGATCAACAAATAGTTGTAAAGAAAGGTACCGTTCCACAAAACATGACCTGCTGTGGGACTGAAGAATTTTGTACTGCCGCGCCTTCGGAAAGTCTTCTTAACATGCAACATAAATATCAATTTCATGTTTTCTTCTTCATCTTAACGTCAACGTGTTCTGCAGGGTCCACAGTGGAGGTGGCTCTTCAGTACTGTCCCACGCCACATCCGACTGCATCTGACCCGACTGCTTCATCGTCATCAGCAGCATTTGATCACAACAGCTCAACATACATGAACTCAGGTCAAAATACTGAATTATCCGTTTGTGTTAGGAAATAATGAACCCTGCCTGTTCCTACCAGGTTTTAAAATGAGGTACAACCCCAATGCTGAAATAGTTGGGAGTAAAGTGTAAATATAAACAAAATATAATAAGTAGTAAATCACATAAGCCCATATTTTAATTTCAGTGGACCATCGTAAACATCTAATGTTTAAACTAAGAAATTTGACTTTCAGTGTTGTATTTTTTCTCTCTCCCAGAATGGGAGTACAGTAGTCCCTCACTTATCGCGGGTTTACATTCCAGACACCCCACTATAGGTGAAAATCTGCCAAGTAGGGAAGTTATATTTATTTTAGTATTTATATATATTTTAAGGCTTTTTAAACCATTCCCACACTCTTACAATGTTCTAAATTATCTGAACACTCTGAAAGAGCACAACAAAAGAGAGCATTCATTCATTCATTCAACCTTTATTCAAACAGATAAATCACATTGAGCCTCGAATACTCGTTTACATCTGAGATCTGTTTGGACAAACAATAAAGTGGTGAAAAATGACACATAGGGTTTAGAGACAAAAACAAAAAATCCTAACATGCTCTTAATCTTTGGTTGAAGGTTAACAGCATGATAATGAAAAAAAAACCATCACACAGCGAGCACATGATGATGACGCAGGGGGGCGGGGACACAAGGGTGATGAGCATGTCCAGAGACAACACACAGAGGCAGAGCAGACAGACTGATGCTACAGTTACTGAGCCAATCAGCACCCGAGGGTAGGGTTGGGTACCTTTCTAAAAAAAAAAAAAAAAAAAAAATCGATGTCGGTACCTTCACTTCGGTGTCGGTTCCTGGAGGGTGCTTTTTTCTGTACCAGTTTTGTAATTACTATTAATTCTAACAAGAATAAAATTACATTACACATTATAGTACAAATTGTAAGTTTTATTTTTTAACTTTGGTATTTCTATTCCAAGCAGTTTTCTTACATAAAAATAAACAAATAATTTCTAGTTCAAAAGACCAGTTTCAAACCAGTGACATGTCAGTGTTTAACACTCACTGCTACACACTGAGGACCTTTTCACTGAACAGTTTTTCTTCAGAAACATCAACATGTCTGTTTTCTCTGGACACAAACAAGCTGCTCCTGGCTGATGGTGTCTCCAGCAGTAGAAAATGTTCACTCTGAGGGTGTAGATGATGATTGTTGCACACACAGATACCTGGTTGTCAGTTTGACATATTGTCCCTCACATACCACCAGCAGGTCACTGGATTCACTGAAGTTAGGGTTGATGCAAACTTCTGCACCTCTGTGTCTCTTCCTGAATCTTCTCTGTGGTTCTCTGGGGTTTATGGCTCTGATCATCTCCCTAATTGACATGAGAACACAAAACATCAACAATAACATGGTTGTGTTATTATTGCTCAAAAAACATTATCTAGGCTGAAAGATAAAAGTTTAACTGGTCAACAACATCCTTTAAAATTAACTTACCTCCACCATGCAGCCCCCACTGTAGAAAAAGGCAGCAACCTTTTAACAACAAAGTCTGTGACTGTCCTGTGGCCCCGCCCTCACTTTTCTTTTGTCTGTCTCTGTCCTCACACCTGGGTCAGAACCTCCTGTGAGGAGAACATTAACATAAACAGTGACCATTAGGTGAACTGTTTAAGCAGCTGATCCAATGGATGAGCACATTTTTACAAGCTAAGCTTCATCTGTTACTGTCAATCTTTAGTTAGCTTCTGAGTTTGGCTAGCTACGTAGATAAAATAAATTTACACACTAATATCTTAAAGTTAGCGTTACATGGATTGTAGTTTAACTCTCAGCGATGCACGTGTTAAGCTGCAGTAACGTTAACAAACGTAAACTTACCAGCGGAAACACAGACACAGCTCCGTCCTCGGAGTTCTTTGATGAAGAGGAGTCGGGCCGTGGAATGTTGATTCAGGCCGTTTAACATTCAGACTGACTTTAACGCTGAGAGGATGGGGGGGGGGGGGGGGGGGGGGGGGGTGGAGGCTGCTGTCCATCTGTCTTCTTGCAGATAAAACATGGAGCAACTTTCTGCTCGTAAGCACGCGCATGTGAACCATGTCTGTGGGCGTAACCAGCACCATAGACATACAAGCTGTAGGGCAGCTCTATACAGCTCTGGGTGTAAACACGTAGTCTGTCTGTCATATGTCTGCGTTTTACCTGCCGGCGTGCTGAAACCACATGACACGTTACAGCCAATACCGAAACTTGACACCAAAAAAAGAGTGACCATACACCGACCGGTGCAGTTCGGTCTGTGCTAGAAAAGAACCTTGGTTCGGTACTCAGCCCTGCCCGAGGGTGAACTGGCCATCGGGAGCTCTGGGACATTTCCCCAGCTCAGTTTGGGTGGAGTCAGTTCAGGTTAAGGCTCAGTTCTGGTCACGCTTGATTATTTTAAATAAACAATCCATGCAGCTCACTCTAGTATCTGCCTCACTGAAGCTCTCACAGCAGCGATGGGGAAAGGCAGACCCTGCCCCCTCCTTTCTCTTTTTGAGGCTGACAGCCTCAAAAAGAGAAAGGAGGGGGCCCCTCAGCGATCACTGATCGGCCAGACCACCGGGAAACAATGTGTACAATTTTACGTTGAAAATCCGCGAACGAATGAATCCATGAAAGTCGAACCGCAAAGTATTGAGGGACTACTGTATATGTTGTTTTAAAACTTGTATCTAGTTTTCTTCACTGATGGTAACTTTCCAAATAAGTAATCTGTCCATGCCAGAGGAACTAATGTGCCCCTATACCGTCAGAGGGACTGACCTGTTATCAGATAGTCATCTTCAGTACAGAAGACTTGTGTTTTCGGATAACAATTTTAGAATTTTGATTCATCTGAACAGAACAGTGTTCCACTTTGCCTCAGTCTATTTTAAAGGAGCTTTGGTCCAGAGAAGACTGGTTGGTGTTCACATAAGGCTTGGTCTTTGCATGATAGAGCTTCAACCAGTCTTCGTGGAACTGTAATCCCGTAATTTGTGGACGTGTTCCTACTTTGACCTCGTTTTTCCATCAGTGTTGACTAATACTGAAATGTATTTTATGTATTTCCTTTTCAGATTCCTGCTCATACAGTGTGAGTGAACACTCCAGCGAGGATACGTATATCTCGCCTAACAGAGACACCCCAGCCAGTCTTGACATCCCAGAATTCCCTTCTGCCAGCACAGAGGTGGGACAATATTACCAGAGTGTGTTGTTAGCTGTGGAGAGGTGGTTTAGCTTCTTTGGATGGCCAAGTGGCCCACACCCCATTTCTATACCACACACACTCAGAAGGTAGGCCCTCTGTTGTCTTTTTCCCCAAATCATTCTGTTTCATAACATATTTTTCATATTGACTTTTACTGTAAATGTCTCCACGCAGAGTTGTGTCAAAAAGTCAAACAAACTACAGCAAAGGTCCAACGTATATTGTCGCTTTGAACAAAGATACAAGGTGGGTTTTTATGTAGTGAATTATCAGGGCAAAATCAAGAAAGGAAGATATGTTTGCTCAGCTACTGTATATGCTGCTGTGTGTTTTATAGGCCTGTGGTGGAAATGCTTCATTATTTGACGGGCATCCAGATACCTGGTATCGGTCTCTGTCAGATGTTTTCCAGTGATGTAGACCAGCGCACCAACCAGCTGCTGCACCAGCACAAAGCTATGCTCACTTTTCTCAGGTGGGATTTGTTCTACATTACAAAAAAAAACAAAAAAACATTTATGCTGGCTCCTATCAGAAAAATGTTTGGTACCATACTTTCCACCGTACAGGTTGCATCAGTCCAAATATGTCTAATAAAGTGGGGAAAAAAACCATAAATAAGTTGCTTCGCCGTATAAGTCGCATCTATTATGCGTCACCGCTGACGCGTTGCGTTTGTTAAGCATCACTGCACCCGGAAACGTGGGTCGGTGTTGTGCCAAAAATCGATTGGCTACCAAATGGCGGCCGCAGGAGCGTGCACTGGAGAACGTTAACAAAAAATGGGTTGAAACTAAAGCGGTCGCTTCAACCCGAACAGAAAAACAAACGCGTCAGTGAAACGCTGTAATCATATGGAAATATCGAAAATGTGCTTAAAACTTATATCGCCGTTATTGAATAAAAGTTTGTTGTGATATATAGATATTGATTTATTGTCCAGCCCTAAAGTACATTTATGTCTGCGTTTAAAAAATAAATGTTTAAAGTTAATTCAGCACTGTTTTTCTGTATCAGATCGGTATCGGGCGATACTAAACTTAGGGTATCAGTATCGGAAGTGAAAAAAGGTGGATTGGTGCACCCGTAGAAATCATTTTGTTATTTTGTCTTCTAAAATGATGCGTTCAGGATTCAGGGAGCCTGTCTGTGTCACATCAGACCAGAGTACTTACTAGATGTCCTGGAGTTCAAACACTGGTGCTCCATACAGGTAAAAATATAGCTGAAAAGTTTGGTCCTGAATTTAAATTACGTTTTAAAGCAATTAAAATGTATTTATGTTTGTATTTTATGTCTCAGTCGAGCGATACAGAGAGTGGTCTCGACTTTAACAGCTTTGACTACGAGTCTCTGAGCAAACGGTCCTGGACTGACGTGCTTTTACAGCTATACAAGGTGAAACTCCTGCCTCCGTCTTGTTACATTCATAAACATGTTAACTTGTCGTCGTAGTGCTGTTGAACGTCCTTCTACACTTGCACAGGTTGTTGTATTATGTCGGGTGTCAGGGGGAGCTCTGAACACACCTTCGAGCAGCGCAGACACAGTTGGAATCTCGCTTGATGGGTCACAGTGCCTGGTTAGTAATGTCTACTCGCCCTCTGAGCTCCGGTTACTGTCATGGCTCAACATGCACTACGAGAAGATGAGGAAAACTGTATGGGGCACAGGTAAGTCCAGATAAATGTGTTCTGTCAAGAAAAGGGTTTGTTTTCTCCCAGTGCTCCTCTCATTTTCAATGTTAAAACCTCTACGAGAACATGAATAATTTAGGATAACAATATTATGAAGGTTAAAAAATTTCAAACAGAAAAACATAAAGTGCTTATAAGAAAATAATAGGAATGAAAGACTATTAGTAATTAAAAAAACAGTTGTAAAAACTGTCTTTGAAAGGTCTAAAAGCAAAAATGAGGTACAACTGTTTCAATAAAATCTTGTTAACCTTTTAAATGGAAAGGGAATTCACTAGTTAATGATTGTTAGATGACTTTCTGAGTATTTGGAATTCAAAAAGTGATAAGAAATGTTGATAAAATGTCAAATAGTCTAAAATACTACCCTTAAGGACCTCACGTAACAGCCCAGTGCTTTAGGACTGATACCCAGCCAGTTTCACACCTATCGGGAATGTCATCCATGTGACCAGAGGGGCCCATCTGTGAATTAGATTAACAAAGATCTTAACAAACCCCTACTGTGAGGTGTGATAGGTCAATCTGCATATGTATGTATGTATCTTAACTCAGCTTTATAACTCGAACCGCACACTCAATGTTCTTTGAATTGAGAAAGTTTCTCGGATGAGAAGCGAAACATCTTCTGTTACAAATAAAGTCCAGTTGTTTTTGTCTTGAACTTTTTTTGTATTTATCATGTCCTGGATGACTGAGAATCTTCACCAGCGTAGCCCAGTGCTTTCTGTCATGATGTGATTTTTACTAGTGGTCGACCCCCCCC